CCTGGGTTCAAATCTCTGCTCTCTCACAGACTTCCTGTGTGACTTTGGGTAAGTCACTTTTTTTCCCTATACCTCTGTTCCCCATCCATAACATGTGGATAAATAGCATTGCCCTATCTCATACCAGTAGACACTTGGATAACAGGGACAAAAATACCTAAAATATTTCCACACAATTGGCCCTCGGTCCTTTTTTGGGGACTGTCCCCCAGTATTTAGATGTGTTCTGAGTACCAGCCATGACCACAGAACCAAAACTGGAGGTTCTTATTCAGCTTTTACTTCCCTCCCCCCAATTCAGGCAAACACCAATTGACTCCAGCAATACTTTGCCTGAGTAAGGACAGAAAGGAAACTGGGTAAGGACTTCAGGATCTGGCTTTGTAACAACAACCAGGAACCTTCTTCTTTTCCCAGAGATCCCATACCAACTGCAATCACATTTTTAAAAAATTAAAGCGGATAAAACTCGCCCTCTTCCCTTGGATTTCCACACCCTCTCCCTTCCCAAGCCATGTTCTTGAGCCCAATTTAGAAAAAAAAGAGTAAATATGCTACATCTATTTGCTCCTGGCCTCTCCATTGCCGCTTGATGCCCTTCAGAACAATCTCAACTGACAGGTTCAGTGCTGAGCTGCTCAAAGTGCTTCCTGTCCATGTGGGTGGTCTGAGTCACTCAGCAGTGAATCTGACAGCTGAATTTAGTGATATGGACTCAGAGCAACAGGCAGGCTGGGGAGGAGCAGCTTAGGTTTCATTTGTTTCACATTTGTCTTGTATCCCACAGACATGGCATAGCTTGCTGTGGAACTGGCATAATAACAGAGACAATGAGCCATTCTCCTCACCACATAATCCAGTTCTCTTGCTGGAAACAAATATTTGGAATAGTACTTCAACCACCTGGGATACAGATTATTGTCTCTTGAAACATGGTATCCGTCCAATTATCCGTGAATGATTGCACAATGAGGCTTTCTACATTATTATTCTTTAAACAGAGGAGACCCATCTTAAGTGCATGCTGTAAGCCTGATGATGACTCTGTTTATGAATAGACAACTTAGGTCCCAAGACTTCATGTTTTTCCGTGCAGGTAGGCCCTTTCACCCACATGAAATTCCAGTGAAGGAAATGATGCTCCAACAGTCCCTGCTTGTATGACTAGGGCGAAAGAGTCATTGTTGGCCCTGTGTGGAGGTGCAACAGGGAGCAGAGAGTCAAACAAGCCTTCTCCATCAACACACGTCTGTTATAGAGCCAGCCATAATTGTGGTGGGGAGCACAGTCACTGCTTTAGCGTAAGGAAGGAGAGACACCCAATCCCATGGCCCCAACTGTTAGAGCCAGCATTACCTGATTGACATGATGCAGTGTGTACTGTACCCTGCAGTACAGTGGTGGAGATCACATGTAGAGAATCCTGACAGGAATTCTGGTATCTCATCAGAAGCTTAAAGCTGCAACCAGGTCTCTAGTGCTGCAACTGATATTGCACCTCCCCGCTGCACTGTACCTCCCAACATGAGAAAGCTCCACTACCACGGATGTACAAGAACAAGTATTTCAACGGTTATTTTCTATTCTATTTGCTGATAATGACTAAAAACAAAGGACCTGGGAGAGGAATAGCTAAACATCCAAAATGTCTTGGTTAACATCAGACATTTTTTAGTTATGTCTGAGCATAAAAACATTTGAAAATATTTACAAGGGGGAAAGGCCATATTTTTTTCACTTTTGTATAAGTCAAATATCACTGACAGGAGTTTGCTCCAAGTTTCAAAACAAAATTCACCTCTGAGCTAAAGCAAAAGCATGGCACATTTCAGGAGACTTTTTCAATAAGGCTGTGTCTAGACTACATGGCTCCATCAACGGAGCCATGTAGATGAGGGTTGTAGACATAGCAAAGTGAAGTGGTGATTTAAATAATCGCCGCTTCATTTACATAAAAATGGCTGGGGGGCTGTGCAAGCATTCAGAAAAGAACCAGCACTCGTCACACAAGCAGCAGGTTATCTGAAATCAGACATCTGTTTATATATTGCATATGACACCCGTTGTAAATTATAGACAATTCACTACACCAAAAACACCTAAATAAATGAATTTTATGGTGAAAAGTGTGTCAGACCAAACAGACATATTTTATGTAAATATTTTAATGTTTGTAATGACAGGTGCCTTGTATCATTCTCAAGCCTAGTTTGTTGCTAGATCTTTTGACCCTGCAGTAGTACGAAAGGGACTTGATGGTGTCTTCCCCACCTGTTTCAAAAACTGCTCTTGCTCACCCGGGGAGCTGGCTATATGATGCAATCATCATTATTTTAACCCCTACCTCCATCATTTTCAAATGCTCATAACTGAGGGTACGTCTAAACTACATGCCTCCGTCGACGGAGGCATGTAGTTTAGACGTACCCTCAGTTATGAGCATTTGAAAATGATGGAGGTAGGGGTTAAAATAATGATGATTGCATCATATAGCCAGCTCCCCGGGTGAGCAAGAGCAGTTTTTGAAACAGGTGGGGAAGACACCATCAAGTCCCTTTCGTACTACTGCAGGGTCAAAAGATCTAGCAACAAACTAGGCTTGAGAATGATACAAGGCACCTGTCATTACAAACATTAAAATATTTACATAAAATATGTCTGTTTGGTCTGACACACTTTTCACCATAAAATTCATTTATTTAGGTGTTTTTGGTGTAGTGAATTGTCTATAATTTACAACGGGTGTCACATGCAATATATAAACAGATGTCTGATTTCAGATAACCTGCTGCTTGTGTGACGAGTGCTGGTTCTTTTCTGAATGCTTTCCTGCCCTGAAGCTTGTGCTGTGCTTGGTCCTTCTGGGATACTCTTTTGATGCTGCAGTCGGTAGTGCTTTGGGGTAGACAGCAATTTTGTTTTGTATCTATTGTGAACACTGTGGCTTTTAACTTATTCCCTGGAATCCCTGCATGTTGCTTCTTTGTAATCTCATGTCCCTGCGGATATATGCAGTCGGATTGTATCCCAGGACCGCATCATGGAATCATTTGGTGATTATTTGCACCTCTCCCCTCATGTGTTCTGCTGAGTCATAGAGATGCTCGTCAGAGTTTTTACTACATGCATATTTAGAATGGGAAAGGAGCCTTTATAGGCTTTGCTTTGGAATTCTGTATCAGATGCACCTTCTAGGTCAAATTCATCCCTCTTGTCCTTTCTTGCTAGAATTGATGCTATTCTCTCTGCTTTTGGGAAGGGGAGATGAAAAGAGTCCAAGGAGGCTAAGTAAGAGCTAAGTATATTGGCCAAACTGGACACTCTATATGGTAAAGAATTAATGGACACAAATCAGATATCTGAAAAGGCAAGACACAGAAACTTACGCAAGAGGGCATATCCCTGAGCGGGACCATCAGAGTATTTGCACAAGAACCACTGATTTTGTACATTACAAAGTCTGTGTTCTTGTGCAAATACTCGCAGCCAGTGTTGACAGGCTTTTGCGCAAAATCATGCCAGTCTAGACACAGCCAAATTGACTATTTCTTTCCCTTTTTTACCCCTTCTTTTTCCTTCTCTCCACCCCCCATCGCCTATTTGTTTAGAAACTGGACCTATAATAACTCCGTTCATCTGAAGAAGTTGGGTTGTGCCCATGAAAGCTCATGATACCATTTACATGTTTTGTTAATCTTTAAGGTGCTGTTAGATTATTTATTGTTTTTTAAGGTTTTTAAGAGCTAAGTAGGTAC